GCAATCCTCCTGCCTCAGCCTCCTAAGTGCTAGGATTACAGGCATGCATCACTGTGCCCAGCTAGCCCAGAATTTATGATTTAAATCATTATCCATTATATTGTTCACAATTCTCTGGGTCTGAAATTTAGGCCAGGCTTGATAGGAATTGCTTATATCTTAGCTCCAGGAAGTGGACGAGTCACCTGGTGTCTTAGTCACTTCCCACTTCCTGGGACAAAACACCCAGTATCCACAATTTAAAGGAGGAGAGCTTTATTTTGGCTCACAGTTTTAGGAGTCTGTCCTCGCATGGTCACCTGGCTCCAGGGCAGGAATGGTGCAGTGAAAGGGCCTGGTACAGAAAAGCTGTCCACATGTCAGCCAGAAAGCAGAGAAGAGGGAGGCACTGGGGAGGGAGCTGCACCATCCAGGTCAGGCTCACAGTGACCCCCCCTCATTTGACCAGGCTGCTCCTCCCAATAACACATTGAGCTTCACTCATGAATTAATCCACTGATCAACACAACGCCCTCTGTTATCCAACTGTCTTCCAACAGCCCACCGCTGAGTGCGTGAGAATTTGATGGCACATTCCAGACCCAAACCACAGCAATCTACCGCTAGCCCCCCAAAGACTCAGGAACATCTCTTTATGCTAAATGTGTTCAGTCCATCTCTAAATGCTGCTGCAGTCTTCACAGTTCCAGTATTGTTCAAAGGTCTCTCTGAGACCCCAGGCAGATCCAAACCACAGCACCCGGTACAGTTAAACCTGAGAGGTCCAGAGCATCTGCCAGTTGGAAGCTGGCTGTCAGCTTCAGCAATGAGTCCTCCTCTGGATGGCCTCTGATCATCCAGGCCTTCTCTTATCCCGTGTGCCCTCTCCAGCATAATATGCTGAATGTTTTACATGGCAAATGGTTTCCAAAAGGGCAGAAACAAACTAGCAGGCTTATTAAGACCTTCACCCAGAAGTCGCATTGTTATTTCTGCTACCAGTCAAAGACAGTCCTGGGGCCAGTCCACACTTAAGGAAAGGGTAGTAATAGCTGGGAGATTGGTGTGAATACTTTTAGAAACAACATATCTCGCAGGTAGAAGCAAAAATAAATGAACCCAAGTACTCTCTGATGCCATTGCTATTTCATAGTCCAGCAGTAACCCTGATGTTCAAGCTTTACGGCCTTAGCTTCCTGGCTATGTAAGCTGAGTGAAGTCAGAGGGAAGTTAAGGAAACAGCTAGATGAGACAAGACTGTTGCTGTAATACTCTGATCTTTAATGGTTTGGTCTTTGAGCATTCTGGGAGACAAACCACCTCAGAAGGAGACCTGTTCCATTATCGAGCAGCTCTGAAGTCTCGAAATATCTTCAGTGTGTGATGCTGAATACTCCCTTTCTGTGACTCCTCCTCTGGTCAGACGTCTACTCTCAGCTGCTTCTGAAAGGAAATCTCCTCCCCTGTGAATATAGTATTAGTGAATAACCTTCTTGACCAAAGGCACAACACCTTCCAACTTTTTCCTTATGTACCATGTAAATTCATGATTTCCAAAATTATGAACATAATTCACAGTGTGAATTTTGCCCAGTATAGCATGTTTGGCTGGGGATTTAGCTCAGCTGCACAGCGCCTGCCTGGCAAGCGCGAGGTTGTGAGTTCAATTCCCGGTACTGAAAAAAAAAAGAAAAAGAAAAAAAGAAAGCGCATTTAAGAAGAAAGGAAAGTAGGGAATAGATTATTGAAAATTTTCAACTATCTCATGATCATAGTTTAGATCTCAGATATCCCTCAAAGGTCCACGTGCTGCAGGCATGATCTCTAGCCCATGTCACTATTGGAAGGTGATGGAGCCATAAGTCAAAATTAACCTTTGCCCCTCATAAATGGATTTTCTCAGGCATTTTGTCACAGTAATGGAAAGCTTACTAACACACCGGCAGTGCAAATAAATAGTTTAAGCATCTTTAATATTTATCTGGCTTAACCTTGTTTTATCTGATGGAAATCTAGGGCTTTGAATTTATCTAGTTCAAATTTTTTCATAACTTAGTCATTGTTTACCAAAATAGTTGTCTAACTGTAGTGTCCTCTATAGTTAGTATTCACTGGATAGTGGAAGTGGAGACAGTAATTTAAAGATTCTAAGAAAAACTGAAGACAAAGCTTACTAGTTTAAGTGATAAAAAGTGCCCAGATACAACAAAATAATTTTTTTGATAATTCATGTGATAAAATGAAAAAGAGGGAGTAAGCCTGTGTAACTAATTGGTTGAAGAACCAGTTCTCCTGGTGAGTGGTGTTTACATAAGAAGATGCCTGTGATCCAAAATTAGGGTGAAACTTTTACTGGTTGGGGAAAGTGGCTATAAAAAGATAAGAATAGTGAAAAGCTATGACCAATAAAAAATGAGAATTTAATCATAGCCTAATCAACCTACAACAAGGGGCGATGAGCAGGCTTAATCATGTCTTATGCTATTAACACAATAACCCTCAATTTTCCTGACTGCAATTTTTGAGTGCCAATGTTTTGGTCTTTTGCTTCCAAATTCTAGCCTCCTAAGAGAGCCAGAAAGCTTTATGTATATATGTGTGTTTAATTTTTATAAATAGAAATATATCTGAGGGTACGTGAAAGGAACTAAGTGTTTATTTCACAAAAGAGTTAAGAACTTTAGAAATATTGTTGCATAATGTTTTTTAAAACATTAAATTAAATGGGATGTTGCTTTGAATTTATGAAAAGTAACACATATAATTAATTACTTTCCTCTTCTCTTTGTATTGTACTTGCTTAGATTTTTCAGGCTTAGTAAAAAGGCTACATATAGGAGAAAACAATGTGCATGTGTAATAATAAAGAAATAATGTGTGTTATTAGTGAGGTAAAAATAGTTCTTTGCCTATATTTAGTTTGAAGACAGTTTCAAGTATTTATCTACAATAGCCCAGCCCACATATAGTGTGATAAGATCTTCAGAATTAGATAAACCAAATTTGTCCTGGTTGAACACAACAACGTAAAAAATGCTTAATTTTCTTAAATATATAACAGAAGATAGATGGTTGGAACTGCAGAAATCTTTTTCAAAATTACTTCTGAAACAGGACCGTGGTGATGGTGGTGTAATTCTGTGAATGTATGAAATGCTTCTGATCTGCACATTTAAAATGCTGTAAGTGGTAGTTTTGTGTATGTGTTATATACATTTTGCCACAACTTTAAAAAAGGAATAATTCACTTAAATATGCATGACAATCTACTTTGCCAAAAACACAAAGTCTGTGGCTAGAAGAAAAAAAGGATAAACCCACTTTGAATTTTCTGGGATTTCTTTGTGTGTGTGCGCGCGCGCGTGCACGCGCGCATTCTGCAAATTGTTCATGAACTTCTAGACAGATGTGAGTTCGGTCAGCAGAACCAACACAGTGATGTTCACTTGGGCTGAGGCAGACTTGTGTGCAAGGAGTCTTTGGACATCTTGTTCTGAGTTTGCTGTTCAGCCAGCTGCAGAGAGGAGTGGGCAGGTTCAAGAGCTACTGATGTTCACATTGTCTAGCAGGGTCAGCTGATCGTGAATGGGAGCAGCACAAGCAACCCTTTATGCTGGCTACAGCCCTGCTAGCAGCACTGGGGCATAATCCCTTTATTTTTCCCTTAGAACATTTGTGGTGTTTGGGCTTTTTGGAGTTTGTTGCCAGAGATGATGGGAAATGTGGGCGGATGGTTGTTGCCTATAAGATTTTCTTTAGTCTAGAAAAATGTCCTGGTTACAAATAACACCAGCAAATAGGAAAGGTAGAAAATACTTGGCAGTATAGAGCCTGAAACAGTGCTTCCAGTAATTAGCCTGAGCTCTGAGCACTAGGGCACAACTCCCGGCCTTGACTGTCATCAAGTAAGGAATAATTGATGGTAATTGTTAAGATCACTTGATGTTCTTGCTTTTTTTGCAATTACAAGACAGCCCAATTGTTGTTGGAACCCAGGTTGGGTAGGAACATGATGGTTCTTTGGCAGACAAGTTTCTGCTTTCACCATAATGGAAAGGTACAATTTGGGGAGTCTCTAAGGTGGGGGATAGGGATCCAAAACATTTGTGCCACCAAGTGGGGAAAAGTCTAGCTGTCTGATGTTGTCAAGAGATTGTCAGGTTGTTTTCTAAAGCACTGCATCTCAAACTTTAACATTCATGGGGATTAACTAGGAGTTTTGTTCAAATATACTTTATGATTTGGTAAGCTTTGTATTTCTGTCAAGTTTTCAGGTAACACTGATTCTCCTGATCTGAAGAGCACACTTCAAACAGCAAGATCAGGAGAACAGAGGGTTAACAAGCGGAAAACTGGCATCATTGCCACTGGATCTAGTATTTCTACTAACTCAGGGTTTAAAAATGAAGCTTTTGTTCTAAAGAAACACAACAATTCTAGTTCAGTGAATTACTATCATATTGCTCATCCATACTTCTTAGTGAGCGCTTATTCCCAACTGAAGGAGACACCACCTCTAATGGGGCATTCAGAAATGTGGAAAGTGTTATTGATTGTATGATTACTGGGAAATTCTACGGCTGTTTGGTGCCCAGAGCCCCAGAATACTAAATGTCTAGCAATGTGTGAGAAGCTAATCAAAGAAAAACTGTGCCACCAAAATGCCAAGAGTGCTCCCATTAAGATATCTGAGCCACAGCAGCAGAGAAAATCCTGTACCTGTAACTGAAACCTCATCCAATTAGTTCTTCAAACACCTTTTTGTGTATATAGTCATTCCTTGGTATCAGCATGGGAATGGTGCCAGGACCTCCCACAGATATTACAATCCACAGGTGCTCATCTTCTGTATATAAGATGCCGTAGTATTTGCATGGAAGCAATACACACATCTCCCTGTGTACACTGAACCATCTTCAGATAACTTACACTGCCTAATGCAATATAAATGCAATGCAAATACTTGTCATATGTATTGTTTAGAGAATAATGGCAAGAATAAAGTTAGTACTGTTTGGAGCAGATACAATTCCTTTCAAATGTTTTTGATCAGTGGCTGTTTGAATCTTTGGATATAGTATCCCCACACATGCAAGACCAACTGTGTAGTCTGGAACAACAGACCCCACCTACGTGTATTGGCTTCTCCTTTTAGAATTCTGATTGCCCTTGGAATTTTCCAGCGGAAAGAGTGGCCCTGCTACTTTGTGTACTCCATGGGGTACCATAGTGTGGCTAATTTCCTCAACAGGACATGAGCTCAACAGGAAAGACTTCAGGAAGCCCTACAGAGTTGGACTCATCAAAATTCTGAATAAAAAATGAGACAGGGGAACCCCCAGGGTCCCCTTGAGATGACACTCTTAAATGTTGTGTATACGCACCTCCATCTCAAAGGAACTGTAACCAGCATGCCCAGTTGTCAAGACTCTCATCTCTAAGGTTTCCAAGTCTGCCAAACATCCACCACATTCTTTTTCACAAAAGGAAGAATTCTACAGCCCGGATTTCCTGGCCATTATGTCAGACTCTCATCTCTCATCCCAGGAGATAGTGTCAAACAATGAACATACTAGAAATTCTTGTAGAAATTGTGTGAATTGAGATTTTTTTTTAAAAAGATACAGATATGAGGACAAAGTAAGAGGAAAGTGAGTCAGGACAGTGTTAGAGAAGAACAGCACAATAAAGAGATTTTTGAAGGTAAGGAAAACCCAAGTCTACCTGGTGTGGAGGAAAAGAGACTACCTTAACTATTGTTGAGAAACTAGTGTGTAAAAGAAGAGAGAGTGATTTTGTGACAGATATCCTCAATACAGTGTAAAGAAAACAAGCACCTGCCCAGCAAGTGCCAGGTCCTGAGTTCAATTCCTGGTACAAAAAAAACAAAGAACTATATAAAAAAAAACATTGTTTAGCTTCTTGAGCTTCTATATTATGAGGTGTGATGGACAAATATAGTGAATGTTTAAATTTAAAAATGTTATTGTAGGGGCTAGGGATATAGCTCAGCAGCACAGCACCTGCCTGGCAAGCATGAGGTTGTGAGTTCAATTCCTGGTACCCAAAAAAAAAAGTTATTGTAGTAAAAGACACTTTGCCATTAATCACCTTCAACACACTCCATTTGCTTCAAACACATTTATGCCATTATTGCTGCCACTTTTAAAAGCAGTTTCAGGAATCTCTTTCATGAGCATCTTTGGCTGCACTGTCGTGGCTGCCCCAATGTCCTGAACCAATCCAAAATATTAATGTATCATAGTCTGGAGCAAATTCTCTTACACTGGTTTAGTCTCGGGAGCTGCAAGGAGGATAGAACACGTCTCCAGCAACCCTGGAGAGCAGCTTCACCATGCTAAGACCCCTTGTCCTCCTCATCACACTGCAGAGCCCTGTAGGAGATGATTTGTCACTGATCATAGTGTCTCGCTACACTCCAACACCACTGAGAACAAAGAAGTTACTTTAAGAAAAAATGGTTACAATAACATGTATAGCCAGTTTTCTGTTGCTGGGATAAAATACTTGGCACCCACAACTTAAAGAAGAGAGATTTATTTTGGCTCACGGCCTCAGTAGTTTCAGTCCATGGTCAGCAGGCTACAAGGCAGGAATATCATGGCAGCAGGGCGGTAGTGGGAGTCTGCCAAGAAGAGAGAGTGAGAGAAGGAAGAGCCAGGGTCAAGAATGCACCATGCCAGGTCATGCCCCAGTGACCACCTCCTCTGACCAGGACCCATCTCCTGACAGCACATTCAGCTACACACTCATCAGTGGGCTTATGAGTACAGCACCCCGGAAACCATTCACCTTGCAAAAGCCGCACCTCTGAACACGTGAGACTTCCAGGAGACACTTCAGATTTAAACCATATCCCCTATAAAATCACATGTACACATGGAAATGGCATCTCTAAGAAAGTTGAGTGGTTTTTAACATGGGCTTTCTAGAAAGCTGGACAACACTCAGGGGCTGCTGGTTACAGCGACATTTTCTTCCCCCGAGTGAGAACCGACAGTGCTGATGTCAAGAATGGTTCAACCTAGGAGCTATTTGGATATTTATAAATGCCTCTTACCTTGCTTTGACACTTGCTCCTGTTAAGTTCTGTACCTCAGGCACACAAATCGGGCCCACTGCTGGTGTGCATGCACGCATGTGTGCACATACTTCCTGTCAACCTGTACCTACCTGCCACGATGCTGTCAACCTGTAACTACCTTCCATGATACTACACTTGGATGTACAAAGAACATGTTTTTTCTTATTTTGTTCGTGTAATTTCTTGCGTTCTGCAAGTACTTCTTACTGTTAGTAACAAAACAAACAAACCAACAAACCCTGACTAAAATGCCCCATCCCATTTGAACTTGAGAGGCATGAAATACTTCACACAATCGTTGGGCACTGCTCGCCCCCTAGGCTTTGTGCTGCATGGATGTTCAGTGGCCAGTCTGTGGGTCTCAGTGGTGCCCTTGGCTGCCTGAGTGCTGGCAAACGTCCTGCATGCTTCTCAGCTGAGGCCTGGGCTGGTGATTCATGCTGCAACTTGGCAGGTTCAGAAACTGTTCTTTTGGGAAGTGGTACCTGACAGGCCCAGATTCTCCCCCAGCTTATCCGCTGATAACACTTTAAGTGCTTGTAGCATCCTGCGCACAAGTCCTTCAGACCCCGCTTCAGCCTAATGTCTCGCTACTTTCAGGCACTGCCTGTCTCAGGGATCCACCTCACCAGATTCTGCTTGTTGTTCTTTTAACCACCATGCTGCAGACTGGATGAGGTAGGCTTTTCTTTACATTTCCTCTATGATATCCTCCTCCTACCACAGTGAGGAAAGACCAAGACTCAGCAGAGAGAAGTGAAAGGACTTTATCTCCTCTCTGGGAGACTGGTCAAGGTGATTCCAATGGCAGCTGAAAGCATCCATTGAATCCACTAAGCTTAAATTTCAAGCCTAAAATCTTGCTCCACAAGGTACATACCTGATCTGGGCTCCATGCCCAGACTCTAAGTTGAGAATCTGAAATGGCATGTGGTTTGAGGATAAAATGGGTTAGTTTTATATTTGTTAAATACTGTCTGCTATCTTATAGAGTCTCAAAAACACAAAACAAGGTGATAAGTAATTATATTATATTATTCAGTACATACAATTAGATCAAGGAAACCACTGTAAGAATAGGTTTTCTCTATTACAAAATTGGAGACGGATCATATTGTTAATGTTGGCTGTATGTTTGACTTTTATGCCTGAATGGCAAGAAATCTGCCTGTTACTTCTCCGTGCATTTGTGTTTGCGGTTGTGCTCCTGTCCTCTTTTCAACTTCACACAACTGATTTGTGTTGACTCTCAAAACACAGAATGAGTGCTTGAATGTCAGGGCATGTGACTTGCATTCGAGGACATATTATAACTTCCAGAGCACTGACTCAGCAGTCTAATGGTTTAGCCTTCATACTCCTGACAGCTGTTTATTTCTTTCAGTGTAATTTCAGAGAAAAATATCCAGAAGGGATTCACTGCCCTAGATCTATCAGAAAGCATATGTAAGATATTCTGTATTTTATAGCACAAAAAATCTAACATTAAACAATCACACCATAAAATTTATAATTTCAGTAAGAATTTATCTTAAATCAGGCAAAAAAGGTATGTAAAGTACACAACAGATATTTTCTAGAGATATATTGAGAAGATGCATGGAAACAGTAGAGGGAGAGACAGTCTTCTTAGTATTATTTTAAGGCAATCAGAGAATAATAGAATTCGACAGACCCTTTCAGGTCCATCCTATCCAAATGCTGCTTTCTGCTTCTAGAAAGGGAGCTGATTGACAGGCTTCCAGCAGATGAGTGGGGCTGCTCAAAGATGAGGAAGCTTCAAGGATCAGAGTTGGTGACGCACAAAGGAGCCCAGAATAACAGGTATGAACCCTTCATGCTCAATCTGAAGCCAGGAACCTGGGCAACAGGCCCAGTTGGAACCAAGAAGGTCATCTAAGCAAAAGCAGTCCCTAGAGAAGACCGGCACAGTCTGGCTTCCAGGAGCTGGTGGCTCCAGAAGGCAAGAGAGAAAACAGACAGCAGCTTGTGTGTACCTGCTGACTCTGATTGGTCTCCTGATGCCAGCTTTGCCTCCCTGAGTGCTTCAGATTTAAAGAACTACTCAGAAAATAACTAAAACAAAATTAGTAAAAAATGAACAAGAGAATTAAATGATAACATTAGAAATTATCTACTTATTGGGCTGGGGATTATAGTTCAGTGGCACAAATACCTGCATGGCAAGCACAAGGTCCTGAGTTTGATTCCCAGTACAAAAAAAAAAAAAA